GTACCCCCAAAGGAGTTTGTAAGATGACAAGCCTCTTTTTCTTTATTTGGAGGGTTGTGTGGGTTTTGATTTTAGTACGTGATTGCACTCTTTATGAATTTCCTTTCTCGAAGGTAGTTGTATATCTTTGATGTCTCGTTGAATGCAAGTTATCTTTTGGGGAAAAAAATTGATTATCGACAGGATATGCTTTCTTTTTTTCGCAAGTACACAAAAATGTAATAAAACCATAAATTTATCTTTTTTGAAGTAACGATTACTTAAAAATTAAAATTCAATGCCTATTTAAGATAAATCTTTATTGTTGGTAAATATAATAATAATAATAAATAAAAATAAAAATCCAATGCCTATTGAAGATAAATATTTATTTTTGGTAAATATTTATTTTTTTACATTTGACTTGTTAGATAGAAAATATGAATGGACCAACAAAATTAGGATTTTATGGGTATACCGTGTACTATAATTACTATAGTGGATTAGTGGTATACAACAAAAGTGGAAAATGGTGGCCTTGAAAGAAAGAAACCCAGTAATGGTCCTCCATATTCAAGTCGTACATACAATCTTTACTTTAACTAATCTAGTCTTTTATTTTTTTCAACCGATGTAGAGTTGTCTTGCTCATTCGATTCCTTCGCTGTAACATGAACATATCAACTTCAATATATATAAGAAAACAAATATCTCGAACTAAATATATAACCCTCTAAAAAAAACTTATGTAGCAAGAGTACTAACCATGCAGTGACCTGTCGGTGGTTCCATCAACTGCTGACGAGCTATCCTTACTTAAATCATAACAAGCCTCATTGCAACAACAGGTACATGGCCCCCAAAAATTGACATCACAACAATTACCTTTCCCACAGTCCTTTCCTGTTGATCACATATGTGTTTCTCTTGAAGATCAGTAATAAAATTGTACCCAAAATATAAGAGAAAGATTCCAATATAGTTAATTATTGTAGAAGAATGATATAAGTTATAATTTCAATTTACTCCCCATAACTTGCGAGTTATGGGAACTAAATGAATATATATTAACAAGATGTGAAAGAATGTGTGACGGAAAAAAGATCATGAGTATATATGTATTCAAAACCTGATAAGCCCTAACTAATCTAAACCTCTAACTGATGCACAATTGGTTTTCGTTTGTGAGGGTATTATAAATAAATTATATACATTCCAACTAAAAAAAAATATTTTCAATAAATTCAATCTTGCTCGGAGAGTTATACAAATTATAACCAAAAGAAGCATCGACATAAACAGAATAATATGGTAACCAAAAGCTTATTTTCAATATCTTTTCGTTGCTTTTAATGGTTCTTTTAATTTGTTAGCCCATAAAAAAGTTTCTTCTTTAAGAAAGAGGTGAGAGATAATTAAAGGAGGAAAACTTGCCCCATGTAAAAAGCAGCTTTCTAGTGGTGGTGGTGATGCTGATTACCGGTTGATTTTTCTCGTGGAAAGCTACATCCAAATGAAAGAAACTAGTTATGAATTAACATGTTATATATACTATAAGTGAGGAACAACCAGATTGTCCTAAATCATCATTATAATTTGAGCTTATGCGAGTAGCACAAGAACGAAGCATTTTACCATTCTTTGTCTTACAACCCACCTAAGATGATCAAAACCACTAGTAGTTGTACAAGTTGATTTTGTAGTTACTTTCTTCAAGCAAACTCTTGACATTAACGTTATCATGACTGAAAATCATAAGCATTCAAAATTTCGACCTACCATTTGAAATCTCATTTCGTCTGTCTCTATAACTTAAGTAGAGAAAGAGAGAAAGAGGGTTGTTAAAAAGAGCTTACCTGTAGAATTATAAGGAAGCAACTTCCTATTAACTGCATCTAAACTTTGGAGGGATGCAAAAAGGAAAAGAAGAACCAACCGGGAAAATATAGGCTTGATACTTCCCATTGATTGCAAAGAAATTAAAAGAGTTGAGTATTCCCTTGGATCGGTTTCATTTATAGTGTACGCCGGCCTAGATGAGATTCTAAGCATTTATTAATATAAGTTTAATTCCGGTACCGACAAATTCAACCGAAAGACGTTTCCTTTGCCGAGGGATCCAACCCAATAGAGGAAATCGGATCCAACCCTATAAAGAAAATATGGTAATATACCATATGCTCAGCAAATTAGCGAAATTCAGGGTATGGTATGAATTTGAAACCGGAATTCTTTAAATCGAAAACTTAAGATCAATCTCAATGGTGGAGTCAGAAATTCGAATGAGAGAGGGCTAAAAAATTTTACGCACAATGAATTCGAATTGACGAGAGGGGGCTAATTACGTCTTTATCAGCTACTATATTTTGCTACTTTATTATAAAATTTACATGTAATTTTTCACTACTGATCAATCTAGTCAAAATAATAATAATAATAATAATTCTGATTTGTTAAAGTATATCGAAAATACATCCAATATCTCTATCCGTAGATGTACACTATACCATGACAGACATACATTAATCAATTTCGTGGAGAGGTTTTGCTTGAATACTACTAGCTGCTCAGTACGGTTGAATCAAAAAATATTGGTTGAAGGACAAATATATGCCTCCAATGTGAAATTGCGTTCCTGTTTCCACCACTTCGATTGGGAGGAATCGGAGGAGAGCCCAAGAAACCTAAGAGATTATACCGATGGAGATGATAAGCTTTCCATTAACAGAAACTTCTGTTACGTAACTTATAGGGGGGGAGCCAGGGAACCTTAGAGCGTTCGGCCTTGGCTTATTCTGTTCACTTTGTCGATAGGTGAATGCAAGGTGGCAGCCTCTTCGTGCAACTTTCCAAAACTGTAATGAGAATGAATAACTATAACTCACTGCAAAACTGGACAAGGAGCTTCATTCATTGTTGCAGTTTTATTTCAAAAAGTAAACTTAATTAAAAAAAAATAAGAAGTAAGAAATTTTTTGAGTAGTACAAGTTACAACATAATACCACGACGTGTTATTATTTTTTGAAATATTGTAAAATACATACCGTGTCTACAGACTACAATGCTCAACAAATCTCTTTCAATATATCATACTATACAATTATTCACAAACTGATCGCATATTAGATTCTGAAACCTAATCTTGATGTAACCGGAAGCTGAAAATGGCGAATTGCAGTCATCTCTTTTCTTTCACTATTTTTTCTTTTCAAATAGAAAGTTTAAAAGTAAAAAATAATTAGAGTTTGGCATGGGTCGGTCAAACATGCTGAATTTCAAGTTTTGGCCATTTTGATCAAGTCTAATTTATAATCACATGGTTCCCTGATACCCGATAAAAATCTCAATCCAAACCAGTTCGGCAGCTGAGTCCGTGTTTACCACCATTTTCTAGGGATACAGGAACAACGATTCTTATCCCAAATCGTGTTGTTCGTTCTTGATTTCTTTATATTTTAACATGGCCTGACAAAAATCCGAAAGCACAACGACGACACGATGAAAGTTTTATAAAGCAAATTAATCGGCCAACGGGTCAAGTAAAAGCTAGCAACGATTGTGAGATGCTCATTTCCCGAATACCGGCGGGATAGGCAATTTTTTATTCGGTTTTCTGGAATTCGGTTTCTATAGACCTTATTCCACCTCATCATATTACTAGAAATAATATTGTTTCACAAAGTTTCAGGAACTTGATTTTGGTTCATAAGGCTGATTTTGATTCGTTGCATCATCTATGTCTCTTTCCTGCTAAAATTCTCTATCTTTATCACGTGTTTCAAAATAAACTATATAAGTTACACACCCATTACATTCTCAAATTTCATACCTCAACTTCCTCTAGTAAATTAGCCCGACCCACACTAGTTAATTAAGAGAGAACCAAAAACATGGAATTGCATGCGCGTTGCGGTTCCGCTATGCTCTCTCACCTGCTTGTCATTGCTGACCATGAAACGCCAAAACACACATTTATCTCTCTTCCCCAGAGATGATAAGGAGGTATACCGTACTACGATCCAGACACGGTATAGAAAGGGCCAAGTAAAATGCATATAGAAAGAGTTGACATTTCGTACATCACAAGTTTCTACCGTATTGCATTCCACTTCAGGCCAGGGTGGCTTGGCAGTTACTACCCTTGGAGTTTGATTCTCATACCATATCATTATGAGAAAATCATTTGGTGGTGATCAACAAAGTTATATATTCACATCGTCTATTTCAATGAGGTTGTTGGTTATTCGTACATGTGTGTTTTGGGCTAGAAATGTTTTTGTTGATTTTTTTTTTAATGAAATCTGCTAGAACTTTTATTAATCAGCGGACTTATTTACATTGTCAAGTATCAATTGATCAACCAGGTAAACATGTGGTCTATCAACCCACACAACACACTCGTTCCAATTCGTTGTTGCGTGCGCCATCATATGTGCAGCTGCATTGGCTTCCCTGTAAATGAATTTCATTCCGAATTCTTTAATCTTTAATTCGGAATGTTCGGAATGAAGGGGTTCGCTTTGAGCGTTAAGAGTAAATAACCCCTTTCCTGTGTCTTTATTTCTATTGCATTCTATCTCATCATATCACATTTTGTTCTACGATATTTGAGAATCACCGTCAATACCTCAGTGTAAGTAAGTCCGGTATAATCCTTTGTTTCATAGTCTGGGGCTATTTACAACTAGCCAATTCAGAATTTTTAGATGTACTAGTACTAGCAAGTGCATCAAAGATGCAGTCATCGATTCTCCTGAACGGCCACAATTAGCTCCAGCTTCCACCTTCAGTTCGGTCTAAAAGTCTCCTCACATTCCGGCAGACAATGCCCACTTCCGTGAATATGTCATCAGCCACGCTAAGGTTGTTTATTATTGTCTGACAATCCGACTAAAGAATCGGTTTTGGATAGTTCATTTGCCTGGCTAATTGTACCCCGAGTTTCGCAGCAAGTGACTCCGCCATCTCCACGCTCCTGTTACCTTGTAGGCACTTCGCAACAGCAAGCAAGAACCTGCCCTCATCGTCCCTGATAACCACTCCGAGACCTGTTCCCCCGTTTGGTAGCCGCGTCCGTCGCAACCGAAGTGCATCCTCTATTGGGGCGAGTCCATCGCTTCTCTTGATCTCGATCAACATTCGTGGCGGGGTTCTCAAAGCTTACTTGGTGCCGCTGGTACTCTTCTAGCCAGAGATGTGATCGAAGTGCTATTTCATCCTCCGGGGCTTTCTTGTCGTTAAAGAGCTGGGCATTTCTTTCACGCCACAACGCCCACATCAAGGTACACCACTCCTCTATCTCGGCATCCTCCGCCCAAGACATCACTGCATTAACCCATCAAAAGCTATCATGCATCCCCCTTGCTAGAAAACATCCCACCGAAGGAGATGCCCGCCAAATTCGCGCAGTCCAGCTGCATTCATGGAAGAAATGGATTTGAGTTTCCAGTAAATTGCAAAAGGGACATTTGTTGCTCCATTTATTGCTCCTAGAGCTCATGTGATCACCCGTAGGAAGTGCATCCCTCATAAACCGCCACATAAATTGCTTAACTTTAGGTGGAGTGCTCATCTTCCAAATCCTTTTCTATGCATCCACGTTCCCATGCAGGCTAAGTCCCTGGTCACTAGCAAACTCCATATACCACCTTTTATATCCATCTTTAACATTGTAGTCTCCATTCTTGCTATCATTCTACACTAGTCGATCAAGTTCCTGCTCGCCCCTCAATGGAATCTGAAGAGTTGCATCCGCCACCTCAGTCGGGAAACAACTCTCTACCAATCCCCTGTCCCATTGATTATTTTCCGGGTCCACCTATTCACGCACAAGTGAGTCGACAGGAAGACCCATAGGAGCTGATGGCACGAACATGTGTTCCGTCGAGGGGATCCATCTATCTCCCATGATCCTCACACTTGAGCCATTTCCTATCCTCCAACGGAGTCCTTCGCAAAAAAAATTCTGCGAGCTCATCAACGACCTCCATATATAGCTAGGATTCCAACCGCACTATGCATCAAGGATCGATAAGTTTTTGTGATACTTAGCTTTAAAAATCCTTGCCGCCATTGACTCTGGTCTTTGTGACAGGCGCCAAAGTTGCTTCGCCAAGAGGGCCGTATTGAAGCCCTTGAGATCCCGGAATCACATTCCTCCTTTCTCTTTCGGTTGCGTCAATTCTTCTCTTCTAATCCAGTGGGCACGCCGTTCACTTCCCTTTTGCCCCCACCAGAAGTTAGAGATTATGCTATTAATTTCATCAAGGACTCCCTCCGGTACCCGGAACACCCCATAGCATAAGTCATCTGGGCTTGTGCTACAGATTTGATCAATACTTCACAAGCTGCTGACGACATGGTTCTCTCCTTCCAACCCTTGAGTTTCTCCCTTACACGTTCTTTTATTTCCAAAAAAAAAACTCTTTTTTTGATCTGACTGCCTCAGTTGCCAGCCCCAGATATTTTTCGTGCTTCGGGACACATTTCATCTCCAACACGCCTCCCACCTCCAGCCTGCGATGCATTTTAACATTTTGACTGAAGGAGACATTTGATTTCTGGAAGTTTACAAGTTGTCCCGACTCCCGCTCATAGTCCTTCAGAATAGCTTTGATCTCCTTGCTCTCCTGTATTGTAGCCCTGAAAAAGAACACACTATCGTCAGCAAAAAAGAGGTGGGATACCACCGTGAATCCACGTGCCGGCTGGAAGCCATGAATTCGCCCCTCAGCGATTGCCTTCTTTGTATAAGACGAGAGACCCTTGCACATATGAGAAACAGATAGGGCGATAATGGGTCTCCTTGTCGCAGCCCTCGCTCTGGCACAAAAGTCTCCGACCTTTGTCCGTTAACTAGCACAGCATAAGACACAGATTGCACACACATCATAATCCGAGTCACCCACCACTCATCAAATCCCAGATTTTGGATCATCCCTTCCAGAAACCTCCACTCCACCCTATCATAGGCTTTGGCCATGTCAATTTTCGCCGCCGCCACACCAACACGTCCCTTTTTCCTTTTCTTCATCGAGTGGAAACACTCAAACACCGCCATGATGTTATCGGAAATGACCCGTCCAGGAACAAAGGCACTCTATGATGGGTCGATAATTTTATCCAGAACATGCTTTAGCCTATTGGCCAGTAATTTTGCTACCAACTTGTACAGAACATTGCACAAACTGATCGGCCTAAACTCCCCAGGAGTAGTGGGAGTCTTAACCTTTGGGATTAAGGCGATCAAAGTATCGTTTAAAGCTTCCGGCATTGAGACTTCTTCGATGATGTGGGTGATGGTAGCCGTAACATCATCCCCAACTGTCGTCCAGTAACGCTTGAAGAAGAAAGCCGAGAACCCGTCAACTCCAGGAGATTTCCGGGATCCCATACATTTAAGGGCTCTGAATACTTCCTCTCTAGTAAGCGTTCGCTTCAGCATCTCATTGTCATCTCTCCCGATTCTCTCAGATACCGAATCCAGCACTGGGGTAGAGTTAGGAATGTCTGAAGCTTGAAAACGTTTTTTGAAGTACTAGACCATGCACCCCGACACCGCCTCAGTCCCAAGACACCATTGACTACCTTCATTCCTCAACTTCTTGATCGTATTACGCTTCCTTCAAGCAGAAGCTTTTTTGTGAAATAAATGAGTATTCTTATCACCTCCCCTCAAATAGTCAGCTCGGCTTCGTTGTTTCCAATATTCCTCTTCATTCGCCTCGACTTCCTCAAGTTCTTGCTCCAAGATTCTTCTTTGTTATATCGTAGCTTCACATTCGCAGCCACTCTCTATGGAACGAAGTGCCCTATTAATCTTTCCTTTCAAAAATTTGAAGTTCGGAAAGGCCTCCATGCCCCATTGCCCAGCTGCTCTCGGCATTGTTGCAACTTTGAACATATATCATTCATGCCACCCTGCTGCCATGCTTGTTGAATCAAGTGTGCACAATCCCCATGCTTGGCCCATATCGGGTCGAAACGGAACGACCTCCCCCAAGCTGGATCAACGTCTTCCTCCCCCAAGCTATCACAAATGATCGGTCTATGATTTGATCTCCGTTTGTCAAGATGGAGTACCCGCGCATCTTGAAATTTGTCACTCCAGGCATCTGACCCCACAAATCTATCCATCCTTTCCTCAATAAAACCTCCTTGACCTCGTGAGTTATCCCAAGTGTACTTGTAGCCCTGGAAACCCAAATCTTGGACTCCTCTATCTAACAAGCAGTCATTGAACAACCACATCTCAGTTACACTCGGTCTGTTACCACCCTCCTTTTCCGCTTCAGTCAGAACCTGATTAAGGTCGCCCCCGCATAACCAAGGGCCCTCCCACTGCCCTGCCAAGCTACGGAGAAGCTCCCAGGTCAGCCATTTTTCACTTCCCTCTGGCCAACCATAAATGCCCAAGAACCTCCATGTTCCATATGTATCCTCATCAATTTTGCTATCAATATGGTTAAGGGATCCAGACATCACCGTAACTTGTAGTCCTTCTCTCCACCACAAGCTAACTCCTCCCGCCCTGCTTTTTCCAGTGACAATCGCCGACCAGCACTCACCATTCTCAAATCCAAGTTCCTTTCTAGTAATCTCATTCTCTTTCTCGGTCTGTTTCGTTTCCATCAGGAAAACGATGTGAGGGGAAGTTTGTCGCAGCAGCGATTTTAAAGATCAAACTGCATGTGTACTTCCCAGAACACGGCAGTTATAACTGAGTAGCCGCATTAATGACCCAAAGGGATCGGTTCCCCGCACCATTCAGACTTTGTGAACCTTTCTTTTCCTTTTCGAGCTTCATCTCACCCACCAAGGCTTTTTTATTTCCTGCAGGTTTAGTCGAACTCTGTGTTTGTGGTTGCTTTACCTTCCCTCCTTCTTTGTCTTGTCTGGTCACATGTGATGCTTATAGTCAACATATCCTTCTCCTGATGGTTCTCCAAGCTATTAAGCTCCCCTTCCTTTCTGTTACCTTCTGGCTCCATCCAACCCTCATCCCTTTGCTTTTCATTTCCCACGACTACCTCCTTACTTCCAAAGTTTTCATCAGGATACTCAGATAGGACTTCATATTGATTCCCATGAGCTTTCTGCGTCACACCCGGTGCTTTCTCATTTGCTGGCCGCACTGGGAATTTTTTATTCCTACGCCTAGCAATCATCCACTCGCTATACAAAGGTTGTTTTTGGCTCATCTCCTGCTCACCCTCAGTTGCCATAGTCACGACCTCCTTAAGAGGTTGTTCTACTGGGGCTGGCATCTTGCACTGTCACGAGCTCGTTTTCAAGCCATATTTTCCACAGTCAAAGCAGACATTGAATAGGCCCTCATTGGTAAAGATATATTCCACTCCCTCAATTTTATATTTTGAGAGTAACGGTCGATTGAGGTCAACCTGAACACACACCCGTGCATAATTCATTCTTGCTTCTTCGAGGGTGGCCCTATCCACTCTCACCGGTTTCCCGATGGCTCTCGCTATGCGCATCACCGCCATCTGGTTAAAGAACTCTAGTGGTAGATCAGGGAGCTGGACCCACACCATAGTCGACCTCGTTTCAGCCTTCCACGGATTAAAACCATCTATGAACCGTGAAGTATGTTTCACCGAGGAGCCACGGTCCCCCCTCCACCGCTAGTTCATAATCCTCTTTCTTGCCAAACCGAACTAAAAAGCATTCATTCTTCATATCTGAAATCTGAATGTCCCCATGACGAGCCCAAAGGAAGTTTAGTCGTTTTGCTAGGGCCAAGTAAGGGACTCTTTTACCCAGACCTTTCACCACAAGCGGTGACCTCCATTCCCTCCTCGTCGATCTTTTGTCGGATGTCGAAAACGGTATTGTCGGGCATGTCGGGTCCTCTTCCTCGTCAAAAATCTGGCCATCATCTTCCCTTTCAGCTGCCACTATATCCTCAGTGTCCGATTCCTCTATATACCAGCCTTCATCCTCTTCCAGGTCGGCAAAAGCCTCCTTCCATTCCCCCACTCACCCCTCGTAGCCCCTTCTTCAAGCATAGCCTCGTCCGTGGTGGTGTTTTGAGATCCCCCTCCCCCAGCCGACGAGCCGCCGGGGAGTTTGTTATAGGTTGTATCCATACTACGTACTCTTTTTTTCTGCTGCTGTGTTTCTTTCTCTCCCTTGCCATTCGGTGATGATGATCCAGTAGGTGGGCGACGAGTTCCGGTGACATTATCTGGTGGTTGCGGCGCCGGCATGTGCATCTGTTGTGGCACCGCCGTCGGCGACATAGCGCTGAAACCTAATTGCTGTCGGAGGGTTTTTACATGTTTTTTTTTATTTCAATAAATTTATTTTTGACTTCGTTTGACGACGATTAATAATACGTACCTTTTTAAAACAAAATTTGAACGAGGGTGTTTGATGATTTAGATGACATTTTTCTATGAACAAACTAAATTAAGATACTCTACATCTATGGAGGTTTAGTTAGAGCTCCAAAAAGTAAAAATTACAATTGTGACTATATTGCATAGAAAAGACAAAGTTTGACATGCGATGTCATGTGTTGGTTTTGGGAATCCGTCTCTTGTCTTCGCTTCTCCTATTTATAATCATCATGATGTTGTTGCCCTGTTAACCACTAGCTTGCCGACTGCTCCAACCACCTCGGGGGCCTCTTCATTAGAGCCTTCGTGACTAGTTGGTAATCATCGTCTTGGGGGCCTAGATGTTGGACCAAGTTGGTGTTAAGTTCAACTTCACACATGTCTTGCCACCTCTTCCTGAATATATGGAGTTGAAGCCTCCTTGCCTTGCCTCCATGAATAAGTCTTGATCACATCCATGACTTCGATGGCTCCATATATACTTAGCTTCTTTGTTGCTCTCATCTCCAGCTGACCACCTCGATGAAACCATCTAGCTAGCGAGGCCTTGTTACCCACCTTGACGAGAACTTAGCCACTTCCATGTCTAAGTACATGGAAACTTACACATCAAGATGATGGCAACTCGTCAACAGCGGAGGTGGGCATGCAACCCATGCAAAGGAGGAAGTAGGAACGGGTGCCAAAGCCTAATAGGCACTTCCTTTCGTAGCTAGGATTTGTGTCTTTTCCTTTAAGTTATCGGATTACATTGTAAACCCTATTTAAGCACTCTTTATGGTTAATGAAAAGGTATCAAATTCTCAACCAACAAATCCTAATACGGCCTTTCTGCGCCTAGCTAGCACGAGAGCCTCTTGACTCGTGAGCTACGAGTTGCCATCACGAGATCTCATACTTAGTCTCAAAGAGCTTGACATGGTACCATATTGGTACCATGTCCATCTGATATCAACTTGTCACCTACCTGAATTACCACCAAGCTCATCCCATCAACTTGATACCTTCCATCTTACCACCAAGCCCATCTTGTAGGCTTGGTATCATGCCTAACAAATCTCCATCTCCCATTGGCTTGATACCTTTCGTCTTCCCACCAAGCCCATCTTGTAGGGTTGGTATCTTGCGTAACAAATCTCCATCTACGAGGTTCTATAATTAGTTTTTTTAAGCTGAATTCCTCCTTCGAGACTATAGAGTTGGTTTTGGGAAGCTGAATTTCACACCAACTAGTTTTTTATACTTCCGTCTTGTACTGTGTATAGAGGGGTTGACCGCCTAGATCAGGTAGGAAGGACGGTCGACAACTTATGCAAAAAATTTCAACTCAATAAGACCCACCTAACCAATTAATGTTTGATGTTAAGCTTACCTTAGAAAACTGTAAATCCATTCTAATTATGAGATTAACTTTTAGGGTTAATAATGTGATAGCGTTATGTGTTGGTATTCCATAGTTATAAACAAGAGAGACAAAATGAAGAATTCATCAATGAGATCAATATCTTAATGCTATTTTGACAAATTTAGTTGGTTGTTATTTGGAAAGACTTGACAAGTCCACATGTTCCATCTTATTGACATATTCGGTGACATTGTATTTGTATAGGAAATCCTCTACCAGATGTTCATCCACTTATTACAAGTGAGACTAACGGGTGAGAAATGAATTGAGATTGCTAATTGCCGTAAAAGTGATAGGATACGTATTGGTTGTTGAGTTCAAGACGGATGAATTCCATGGTTTAACGTTTAAGTGGACATTTTGAATTTTTATACATTGTGTTTGAAATTACAATTTGTACGCAACATTTAAAAAATTTTGTCAATTTTACTGGGTTAGCAAGATTTAGAGGTCGAGCACGGTCCAGATGTGGTCAATAACCAAAATTTCCTCCTGTCATGCATGAGGTTTTTCTCCATAAATTTCGAAGGCCACATTTTCTTGTTTTAATTCAAATTTTTCAAAAAATTTAATGATAAATTAGATTAATTATGCTCTTTCAAAATGACATTTATATTGATATGTTTTGGGACCAAAATTTTTTAGACATATATAACCACTCTAATCATGTTGGTAATATTTAGTAGTACATAAGAATATAGAAGGGTGGTAAGGAAGTGTACTATATATAATGATAAGAATATATCATATTGTAGAAGGATTGTATGTATGATGATAGGAATATACTAATCATAATCTAAACCACCTTTCATCCGTCTACCACCATTTACCACCCTGTACGAGAGTGTTAAAGGGTAGTTTATTTTTAGTCCTCAAATTTATTTCCAAAAATATATAAATTTCTATAGCTCACGATAAAACCATACCATACCTCATGTGCAAGTTATTCAAAATTTGGAATAATAAGGAGATTAAATACAAGCTGATTAAAAAAGTAAAGAAAGAAAGAAATTTTTTTTCAATCCACCTTTTATATCTGACTATACGCAAAACCATAAAGTTGAGTAATTGCAATGGGACAAGGTGGGTACTCGGTTTCCATATCCGTCCCATACTATATGCATCTTATCTTATCTTGTCTTATTTTAAGCCTAACATATGTAGTTGTGTTTGCATGAGCTGAGCAAGTGATAGGGTTACAAATTATCCTGTCCTCCATTAGTCGATATTCTAATTTTGGAAAGCTATTGTAACTTCTTATACATTTATTTCTTCATCACCCTAAATCTTGCATTGGAAGAGGTTGCATTAGTTTAAAAGGTATCACAATGATATATATGGTATGTTGGTTATTCACTTGATCATTCATTAATCATGAAATCACTCCCCTAATCAAATCAGTCACCGAAGAATTAGAAGGATTGAGCAAAGTAGCCAAGTAGAGACCGAGACTCACCAGTACGTCAGTACACCCTTCTATTAGGGCTGGGAAAACAGACCAGACCATTAGAAAAACCATGGTCCAAACCGTACCGTACAGTTTGGTCCGGACCGTAGACCGTTAAGTATGGTCTGGTCCATGATCTGTATTATTTTATGTTTTGATCTCTTGGTCTGGTCTGGTCTAGACCGCGGTTTACCGGACCAAACCGTGGACTCAACCGACTTGTCAATACGTGTTGACAGCCCATTTGACCACTCTCCCTACTCCCACAACGACACCCAAGTCTCAACCTTAATTTTGTGAATCTCGTCTCTCCTTCATTCACACCACATTTAACCAGAGAGTAGAGATAATCATGTCTCAATATGACATTATGTTAATATTTTATGACGTTATGGTGCAAGTTGAGATGTTTTTACTTTAAATCTTTGTTATGCACTAAGAATTAGGGTACCAAAATTATTCATGAATGTTAGGATTAATGTTTTAAGGCAAATAACAATTATTTTTCTTGGTTATTGGTTCAATTTTTTGTGTGGTTGAAGAAACAAATTGTTCATTTTTCATTGAGTGTGGTCTATCTAGACCAGACCAGACCGAACCAAACCGCATAGGCGTGGTCTGGACCGGACGGTATAGTCTGTGGTCTGGTCTGTGGTCTATACTTCAGCCTCCTGATCTGGACCATAGACCGTATATATGGTCTGGTCTGGACCAGACCGCACCGTTTCCCAGCCCTACCTCCTATTGCACTCACTCGAAACCAAATCACGATTATTTGTTTTTACCGAAACAAATCACGAGTTCAATAAAAAGAAATACGTATAGAAATATATAATTAGTACTGTAATTAATTACTATCGTTTCAAAGAGAGGAAATTAATATGGGTATTGGGTAACTAATTATTATTATTGTGTAATTGACTGACCCTAGGCTCAAAAGCAGGCGTAAAAAGAGGCAAACATAAAGTAAAGACGGTAAATTCGGAAGTCAAAATCAGATCCGAGAGAATCAAACTGTCACGATCCTGGCTGGCTGGATCTCCCCTCACTCAAAACAGATTCCATTTCCTTCCCCCCTATAAATCTCCCCTCCACTTCCGCTGCTCCTTTCCCCTCACCAAACGCCAAGATTCCACCCTCTAAAACAAACGAACTCAGAATATTCTTGATTCCCTCCCGCCAGCCTTGAATGGCCACCGCCGCCACCACCAAAGCTGTCCGACGCCCCACCCTCCTCCTCCTCCGCCACGTCGTCCGCCACCTCACCTCCTCACCGTCCTCCCTCACCCTGGGCCATGCCTTACCCGAACCCGACCCGGACGTCTCCCACCCCCACCACGCGCCTACTACTACTACCACTACTCCCCACGCGTCCCTAGCCCTGCAGCTGGACGATCACCGGCAGCTATTCGGCTCCGTCCCGGCTTCCAAGCTGCTCCACGCGTCCCTCGTCCTCCAGGTGGCCGCGTCGGAGCACCTCGTGGACCTCGGGACCCGGGCCATGACGTCACGACTCATGGACGTGGAGCCCTTCCGCCGGATGGTGTACGGCGTGGTCCGTCGGACTTTCTACGAGCACTTCTGCGCCGGGGAGACCCCCTCGGCCGCGCGTGAGAGGGTCAGGGAGGTGAACCGCGCCGGGCTCCGTGCCATGCTCGATTTCGCGGTGGAGTACACGGCCGACAACGACGCGTGTGATCGGAATTTGGAGGGGTTTCTCGACACCGTGGATTGCGCAGTCTCCCTTCCTCCGTCGTCGGTAAGTACCTTTCATTTTCCCGGCCATATATATTTCCTTCTATTATTGCTCCGGTTCAGCCTTAGTTCCATGTTTTTCTTGTGCTGTTAGCTTTTAGGCCGTATTTAGTGATTTTTTAATATTTACCCTATTTATATAATTGGAATAGAAATAAGAAATTATTTTTTAAAAAAAAGCAAAAGGAATGGACGGTAAAGAGAAGGCCACGTAGGTTTGGATTTAACTGTAATTGGGAAGGAATCCTAGTCGGATCCACGCAATATCGAGTAAGCTAAGCCATGCAAAGCGATCAGTACAGTAAGGAAGACAAGTTCATCGGACCAGTCATAGTCTTTTTCTAATAATATTGATGATTAGCCTTTTTTCCTTCTTTCTTTAAGAATGATTATTAGTCATAGTCTCAAAAAGGAATTTATTTTTCCCCACAAGTGGGAAACTCCAAGAAGCAAGGAATGGGATTAATTCCCTAAATACACATAAAACTAAAGCAAATTCCTAAACTACCACACTTTTAAAAAAATTTCCCAAAATACCTAAGTTTGGAGTGGTTCGAGTTTGAGAAACTCGAACTACTAACCGGTTCGAGTGTAGGAGACTCGATCTACTCGTAGATCGATGATATAAGCCTCGAACCATGTGGGGTTGAAGTGGTTCGAGTTCAGTGAACTCGAACGACTCTTTTGAAATTTCCAACCACCTTAACTTTGTGCTCGGTTATCCGATTGTAGCAAACTTTTTTTTCATTTCGCATAACTTTTTGAGGACTACAACTTTTATTATAGAAATATTTTCAGAATATATGTGAAAATATGAAAATTAAAGTTAAAGTTACTCCCAAAACCCCTTATATTAAAAACTATTCCTATTTTGAAATTTTTTTCCTAGTAAATGTTGTAGTACTCAAAAATTTATGCAAAATAACAAAAAACTTTGCGACGTTCGGATTTTGGAGCACAAAGTTATGATCCTCTAAAGTTTGGTAAAATCGAAAAATTGCTCGTTTAGGGGTTACAAATGACATTTTCTCGGAGCGAAGGCACAGGAAATTTTTTTATATATAGGAAATTTCTGCAAAAAGAGCAATAGTTTTCCAAACGAGAAATTTTTGGATGGCTACTTCCTTGTAAACGTCATTTGCTAGCCATAAACGAGCAAATTTTCGAATTTGTCAAACTTTGGAGGATCATAACTTTGTGCTCCGCAATCCGAACGTCGCAAAGTTTTTTTTTATTTTGCATAAATTTTTGAGTACTACAACATTTACTAGGAATAAATTTTCAAAATAGGAATAGTTTTTAATATAAGGGGTTTTGGGAGTAACTTTAACATTAATTTTTAAATTTTCACATATATTCTGAAAATATTTCTATTATGAAAGTTGTAGTCCTCGAAAAGTTATGCGAAATGAAAAAAAAATTTGCTACAATCGGATAACCGAGCACAAAGTTAAGGGGTTTGGAAATTTCAGAGGAGTGGTTCGAGTTCAGTGAACTCGAACCACTTCAACCCCACATGGTTCGAGGCTTATATCATCGATCTACAAGTAGATCGAGTCTCCTACACTCGAACCGGTTAGTAGTTCGAGTTTCTCAAACTCGAACCACTCCAAACTTAGGTATTTTGGGAAATTTTTTTAAAAGTGTGGTAGTTTAGGAATTTGCTTTAGTTTTATGTGTATTTAGGGAATTATCCCCAAGGAATGAGATCAAGTCAATCCAAGATTCCTTACAAATCAAACGAAGTTAATTACTTTCACCGTGTCTAAAAGTTAAATCCAAATTCCCACTTGACCCCAAAACAAAAATCATAACGATTTCCTCTCTGTTGCTCTGTTTTCTTTCTTTTCTTTCGCAGGTGAGCTTCGTGGTGGTCAAAATCACAGCAATCACCCCACTCTCCCTCCTCCAACGAATCAGCGACCTCCTCCGCTGGCAACAACAACAACAATCAAACCCAGGATCATCATCATTCCGCCTCCCATGGCACAACCCAGAAACCTCCATCCCAATCTTCTCCAAATCAACCCCGCTCTACCACACCTCCACCCAACCTCCCCACCTCACCCCACAAGAGCTCCAAGACCTCCACCTCGCCCGCACCCGCCTCCACAAACTCTGCCTCCGCTGCTCCCAATCCGGCCTCCCCTTAATGGTCGACGCCGAGGACACAAGGCTCCAACCCGCCATCGACTTCATGACCTACACCGCCGCGATCGAGCACAACACGACCCACACCCCGGTGGTCTACAACACCATCCAAGCCTACTTAAAAGACGCCAAGGAGCGGCTGGTCCTCGCCACGAGGTCCGCCGACGAGATGGGAATTGCAATGGGGATCAAGCTAGTCAGAGGAGCCTACATGTCTAGCGAGAGGAAACTGGCATCCGAGCTCGGAGTGGAGTCCCCTGTTCACGACACGATCGGCGAGACTCATGCTTGTTACGACGATTGCGCCCGGTACATGATCGACCGGGTTGGTTCGGGTTCGGACGGGTTGGTTCTGGCCAGTCATAATGCGGAATCGGGGAGGCTGGCTGCGAGGAAGGCGAGGGAGATTGGGGTTGGGAAGTGGAAGGGGAGGCTGGAGTTTGCGCAGCTTTACGGGATGGCAGAGTCGCTGTCGATGGGGTTGAAGGACGCCGGGTTTCGGGTCAGCAAGTACATGCCGTTCGGGCCGATTGACGTTGTGATGCCGTATTTGATCAGGAGGGCGGAGGAGAATCGAGGGATGCTGTCCACTTCCGCCCTTGACAGGGAGCTCATGAGGTGAAAAATCAAAGAAGCTAATTGTTAACTTTTTTACTTTTAACGGTTTGACTGATTTGGGTTATTAATTCTTGCAGGAAGGAGTTGAAGAGACGAGTGAAAGCAGCAATTCTCAGGACTTCGAAAGGCCAGGAGTGAATGATCAAACGAGAGGATGAATCCAAATGTGTATATGATGTGTTTGGTGTACTTTTTCTCGTTTATGGTTCTGCTATGTACAAGTACTGTTCTGTTTAGCTCTGCCGTGGTGGGTTAGGCAATGTAATTTAAGGAAAGGAAGTTGCCAAATGTTACGCCAACCTCTCCTGTCATCATCAACGGCTCCTTTTGCACATATGTAGACGACATACAATGGAAGTGGAATGTTGCTTGCGATAAAGAGACTGTAACATGTTCAGCACAAAAACAAGTTTATCCGGTTGGGAAAGAAATGAAAACGGTGTTAGTTGGGTGTGCAATCATAATGAGGAAATTTGTTACATAACAATGCAAACATGGGATTCAAGATGGAAATATAATCGAGTTGGAGATTGCAATCAAGATGTACACATTTGGGTTTTGTACTTTGTAAGTCGAAGTTAAATTATTTTTAAGAGCTAATAGCATTTTTTGCCTTCGAAACTTAATCCTTATCTCTCACATCTACAGAGAATGTAATAAGACGGCGGACTATTTGGCTAAAGAGCTTACTCCGCCGGATTTGGTTTCACTTGTTCGACAGGTCAGATCTAGGTCTTAATCTTTGGATCTTGTATGACACGATGGGCATTGCCCAATCTCGTTTAATTTAAGTGCCAGACAGGGATACCCTTTTTGCATCCCATTTTATACAAAAAAAAAAATAAACTATTTTTTCCCCTATCATTATGGATCATGAAGTATAGATTTTCTCCCAATATGTTCATTAGCATTCAAAGTTCGTTAATCTCCATTAAATTGAGACCTACCAAAACATTTTTTTTGTGAGAGACCTACCAAAACATTTGACATATGGCTCATGTACACAATAAATTGTCATAATTACAAAAAACAAATTCCTCTATATTTTCAATCAAAATCAACAAATCAACCTATCTTTGAAATTAAAAAAAAAAGAGCATAATTCCAATTTTTAAAGAAGAAAATATAACCATGCATAACGAGTCTAGTGATTGATGAACAAGTACAAATATTTGTATCCCATGCGTGACGTAACTGGTGAAGCGCCCCACAAGATAGTATGGACGAGATCAAAAGGCTCCTAGTACTCGGTATCACTCGAGGAGAATGAATTTTGTGAAGCTTGGGATGTTATGCAACTCACACAACGAGATCGAGAACCAAAAGATGAATCAAACTTGTCGAGCAACAAATTTTAACAAAAAAATTGTTGACAATCTTGCCGAATTCGGATACCGACAATGCCGTAAACTCCAATCCGAAGACTTATTGTCCAAACCAACAGAATTAACATAGCATAATGGTGACAAAGACCCACATAACGAAGTATTCCAGAGCCTCTCCTGTGAATCCGAAACACCAACTAAGAACCATCGATCTACCCCATTTGAGCAATCCTGACCAGCAACGCCCTTGTCCAACTCATTTAGGACGAACACCCTGCCTTGCTTAGTGCTTACTTCCTTTCCCGATCACTGTCCCCGTCCTCTTGTCCTGTACCACAAAACCGATTGAATTAAACGTAACATCAAAGCCATCTGTTGTCAATTGAACAACCGAAGCAAGGTTAGGAAGTAATTTATGGACATATAAGTGTACATTTGGCAGAGTGATCAATGTAGATGATGATGTGTCGCGACCCACAACCGAAATTTGTTCACCACTTGCCCCACGTAGATTCATATGAAAGACAGGTTGTATCTTATCAAATGTTGACCGAGCATGGGTCATATGGTTGAATATGTACAATTACATAACGGTACTTATATTTAACCAGGAATGTTTATTTTCGAATTTTGATACTTTTACTTAGGGGTGGGAAACGGTGCGGTTGCGGTTAACTGCACCGCAATTTGGGGTTAACTGCAACCGCAAAACACCCATATTAGCCAACCGCAACCGCGTCCCTCACGGTTAGCGGTTAACCAAAAACCGCAGAACGCGGTTAACGGTGAACCTCGGTTTCTGATTGTAAAAACCGCAACAACCGAAATAGTATACGAAACCGTGGTTAAGCAAACTAACCGCGAATTAACCGCGAACTAACAGCAAAAATACATGGGGAAAAAAAACACAGCAGCTACTATTTTGTCTATTTTCACTTTCATCAAGCCCATGCATCTGTAAGACAGGAAGAGGAGCTGGAAGACGAGAGCAGGTCGAGCCGTCGAGCTAACAGAGGAGCAGGTAGAGGGACGAAGCGTCGACGTCGAGCGAAACAGAGGAGCAGCCGAACAGAGGAGCAGCTGAGCAGCCGAACAGAGGAACAGCGACGCAGCCTTGAGGAAGCCGGGGACGGCGGACGGCTAGGGACGGCGGACGGCCAGGGACGGCGGCGGGCGGATGGCAGCGGCACAGCGCCGTAGCGGGAAGATGGGAAGGGTCGAAGGGTTTTCAGTTGCTGGGTTGGCTCACTACAACAAAAAAGGTATTTCGTGACCATGGAAAGTGGTCGCCATATCCAGAAATGTGGTCGCCAAAGTATTTTGCGATCATAAATAATCGTCGGCAACCTGGTCGCATATACGTTGTCAGCAAAAGCTAATGCGACCACTTTCTCAAAATGGTCGCCGTAAATAAATTTTTTACGACCGTTATACCTGGTCGTGGAAAACTTGAGTTTGCGCGACCATTTTCATGGTCGCCAATTGTTACCTATTCTGCGACAGATGCATTTTGGTCGCCAACTCTTATTTATTGCGACCAGGACTTAGTCGCCAAATGTCTAACTAAGACGACAAGATGGAGTGGTCGCGATTCCTCTAATTGCCAACCATTCAATTTGATCATCAACAAACACAAAGTGCTGGTGGCACACAAACTTTTTCGCGACCATTTTATTCAATGCAAATGGTGACTTTGTGAGATTGCTTTGAACCTCACAAAATGGGAAAAAACCTATTTGTATATAACATAACCTGCCACAATAGTGCAACCATATATTAATATAGATAATAACAATGTATTTCCTTCATTGTTCAATTTTTGGCAAGGTACTTTGACACAATTAACTAGTCATTGCCTACAAATTATCATCTAACTATACAATTAGCATTTCCCAAAATGTATATCCACTTGGCTTCTTGCAGCACTCCCCAAAAATGATGCCCACCTACAGCTTCTTTTAGCACTTCCCAGAATGTTATATCCACCTAGAGTGAAGCACATCCCAAAATTCACCTAACCTAAAACTTGCCATCACAAGAACAATTGCATGAAAATCAACCTGCAATAAACACATCATCTCTATAAGTAATAGCATACAGCCACACAATATAAACTCACATGGAAATGTAACACAATTTCTTATGCTAGAGACTTCACCTCATATGTAAAGAATGCATATCAATATTACAAACAATAGTGCAAACAGCATCATGATCGTTTCCCACTGATAAAAAAGCCAAAAGTAGTTTGTCCTCTCCTTCTCATACTTCTCAATAGTAGATATCACAATAAATGACATACAACAACCAGCCACTAAAGAGATAGCAATACCCTCCTACACCAACCACGAAAAAGAAAGCTTGTTCTCTCCTTCTCGTGCATCTCAGCAGTGCATCCACACAATAAATTAAAAACAGCAACCAGCCAATAAAAGCAACAATAGCCTCCGATCCTAAGCCAACCATGACTAGTAGCAATAAGGGAGGAATAAACAACCCAGACATTGAATCATCAAAATAATCAAGCAGATGATCCTCTTCATCCACATGCCCAGACATTGAATCATCAAAATAATCATCTCCCATGCTCGTATTATCCAAGTGGGAGTGAGATTGAGATGACTCGCCATGGTATATCCATACAGTATAGCCAGAGTCCATCCCGTTAATCATTAAGTGTGTCAAGACTACACTTAGAGTTTGGGTTAAGCCATTCAAACATTTATTGCAGGGACAACGAATTGTATTATCACGACCCATCTGATTTTCAACAAAAAGCATGAAAGATCTTACTCCCTCAATATATTATAAACTGAATCTGTTCTTCTTCATCCAAGAACTATCCATCCTATTAAAAACAAGTATTTCAATTTAAATACATGATTAATGTTTGACCACGGAGAATTACCAGCACATGGGATGAGTTAGCTTGGTTACTAAATTTCTAGTAGCTACCTTGGCTACATCAATATCCACCATCCATTTTTATCTTTTTCCTATTTTTTAATCTCACGATTATGATTGCTCAAGGATAATTTTGGAAACAAAAAATAAACCACACTGGATTATTCTATATATACACAAACCCTAATTCTACCCTGCTCCTTCCAACCAAACCCACGCGCCGGCGGCCTCCCCCCTTCCCCACCGTCCCTCTCTTCCTCCTCCACCCCTCCCTCCTTCCTCCCCTGCCCATCAACCCCCTCCCCCCGCCGACCCACCCCTCCCCCGCCGACCAGTGGCGGATCCAGGGGGTGGCCACCCCGGGCCCCGGCCCAGCCCTCCTCTGGATCCATAGTTAGTATAGGCCTTATGAATTTTTCGATTTTAGATATTCGGGTCGTTGTTATTTTAAAATGAGATTGGGTATAATTAGAAAAATAATTCAGATGAACATATTCAAAATCACTACTCTAAATTTAGCTTATAAATTATAACCCCAAAGGTTATTTGTCTAAAAAAATAATGAAACCTACAAATTCAAAAAGTTTAAAACGTAAAAGACTAAAACATATATGAGGTTTGTTACCTTGGAAAATTTACTAGAGCAGCTGGTGGATATAGGGATGAAAACACAATGCAAATTGATTAGTAGATTGATTTGTCTAGTGTTGATGCTCCTCGTTTCAACAGCTAATACGAATAGAACCTTTTCAACAACGAAACATGTGAAAATTGATTTGCGTAACAAAATGAGCGATGGATTTCTAGTCGATTGCTCAAGTATTTTATTTGAAACAGTGTATACTATTGGTATGGATGTGGACTCCATTATTAATGCATTCGTTAAATTAAAATACCGTCGTGTACAATTTACATTGTAAAAAAATTATAATCATTATATTTTTTTTACTATTCTAATTTTCTAATAAAATGCGGCCCAGTGCACTTCTGTGTTCTGGATCCGCCGCTGCCGCCGACCCCATCCCACCCCACCCCCCTCCCCCCGCCGACCCACCCCTCCCCCGCCGACCCCATCCCACCCCACCCCCCCTCCCCCCGCCGACCCACCCCTCCCCCCGCCGACCCCATCCCACCCCACCCCCTACCCCCGGCGACCCATCCCTCTCCCCTAACCACCCCACCCACCTTCGTCCATCTCTCTCTCTCTCTCTCTCTCTCTCTCTCTCTCTCTCTCTCTCTCTCTCTCCTCAGCAGCAGGGAGGAGTCGATGGACAAGCGGCCTGAACCGCGGAGGTCGTCAAAATAATCGACGGCGCTGTTCATCCTTTTATTTTCGACCCTCTCGCCTTAATGGTATTGTTTTTGTTGCATTGGTATTGATTTTGTTGCATTGGTATTATTTTTGTTGTATTGGTATTTATTATCATGTAATGGTAGTAATTTGCATGTACTGGTATTGATTAAATCTGCAATGGTATTGATTTTTAGTAAAATGGTATAGATTTATATTGGTAGATTGTTTATATTGGTAGTTTTCGTGTAATGGTATAGATTTATTTCTGCAATGGTAGTTTTCGTGTATTGGTATAGATTTATTTCTGCAATGGTATTGATGTTTTTCAAAGTGGTAGTGTTTGTCTAATGGATTGGTACTGATTTTTTTTTTTTTTTGTGTAGAAAGATTGAGAAAATTTTGGAAAGGAAATCTGCCTGGAGATCACGGAAGTGAGAGAAAGAGAGAATTTTAATTAATAGATTTTTGTAACTACCTAAAATGTAATTTATTAAAAAATTAATTAATATAATTTATTTTTCCATACCCAATTTACCCAATCACCGTAACCTGTCCCACCAACACATACTATGCAATATATTATTTTTATTATTACTATAAATAACCAGAAACAAACACAACTAAATAGTAAATGGAGTTTTAAGAGATAGAACCTTATATTAGCCCTTCACTTCTCTGAAGCTTTCTTTCCCTTTCTCGAAGAAGTTTCACCCCAACTTTCCCTAAACAAAGAAATAAAAACTGTCTTAGTTTTGAGTTATCAACCATTAACATCTTCGGTAAACAATCTTGGGAAACCCATAATAATCAACAAAGTGACATCGCTACAAACAGACAAAATAGAAAGAAATAGGAAACTATGCAAACCAAATCTCCTATCTTCCATAATTTTCTTAAACATTTATTCATTAAACTAATGTGGTTCTCTAGTATTATAACTAACTATATCTAGCCCAATAATAACCCCACTATGTCTTTATTTCTACGAATCCATTTTTTCACACAAAAAGAAATTAACTTAGTAAAATACTAAAATAAATGTCGACAAAATCAAAATGATGCAAAACACAATACAACAATTCTATTAATTATATATATATATAACATTGTACATGTATTGATCACAATGCATTAATGAATCAATTTAACTAGAAAAAGAACAATCTTTTTGTAAACACCTTTCCCATCTCCCCTTCATTCGCTTCCTCTGTTTCGACCCTATTCTCAAAATTGCAGAATTTCAAGTTTCTAGTCAATAGTCAACGGGTAGGATCACATCCTTAAGCCTCAAACTTAAGAATTTGCTTAAGGTTTGGCTGGCCAATAGGAAGAGGAGAGAGAAGGAAGGAATCTAACTACCTAAAAGGATAAATGTGGTATTCTAGCTAATTATTTAACGTGATTAATATTAATAACTAGTGGAGAAAAAAATAGAAAACAAACGCCGTTGCAACTTCTCTGATTTCCTCGTTAAAATCTCCAGCGCAGCCGTCAAATTCCGGCGACCGACTCCATCAACGGCGTGGCACGCAGGGTTCAGTTTTTGCAGCTTCGCCGTACTTGATACCGTCGGCGTGCCTTGAAGCCCCAACGTGGCCGGGTTTTGCATAGACATAGGAGTCCTGTGCATTGAAGTCACCAGCGTCGCCTTGACGCCGCTAACGTCGTCGGGTATTAATTAATATAAAAAACAGAAACCACCGAAAAGTGATGCGTAATCAAACTACCGCATTTATATTTCCAATGCACTGTAACGAACTATCTATTACAAACTATCTATGGCAAAAAAAAAAAAAACCCATCCTATTAATAATGGTAACGCAACATGTTGTTAATGCAAGAAAGTCTATTAATATATTTTTCCATCTTATTAACAAAGTTGACGAAAAGTTAAATATTAATAACCATTAACGTTATTAGCCGAATTGGTGCGAAGTATTAGTCTTTTGGCTCTAGATTTACAATATGAACCCAATTAGAAACTTATGACGCTGACGGCGTGTTCATAACGGTATGGACAATATTGTTAACAAAGTTATTTGCATTATTATTAACCAAGTTTGTTAGTAACCAATTATGGTAACACTACTATATTATGTTATTAACGAAAGTTGAGGATTTGGTACTGGATATAAGGTAATTGTTAAAGGTTATGCAGTTATTATTAATGATTTACATTGTCGTTATTAACATCGTAAGGACATGTGGATTAATAATTTACATTGTCGTTATTAAAATCGTAAGGACATGTGATTTTATTAAACGTGTCATATGGATTTTGTGTTCAAAATCAGTGGTAAATATTATTAATGGTATTCTATTTTTTGTTAATGTGTTATGAACGGTTTTTGTTTTAATCATTAGTCATTTTTTATACCATTATCAATAATATATACTATGTTTTGGTGAATGTGTTGCGTGGAGATGTGTAATCATACTATTGAGGGATTGTCACAATCAATGTTCATGGTTAAGAATGGAGTGTAAAATCCAAAATATTGTGGACTATTATTAATGTTATATGGAAGCGTTATTAGCGGTTCAATGATTTGTGATTAACATTTTTTTATTGAAAGTGACATTTACATTTCCCACCTTCGAAATTCACATGTACATACAAAATTTGAAAACATTACTAATTAAGCCGTTAACAATCCATGAAATTCCATAACTAATTCCGCATGCCACATGTTAATAATGATACCACTATATGTTAATAAAAACCCATGTTGAGTTCTTAAATACAATACAAACCATTGACAATGCTCTACGAGGCTGTTAATAAAAACTCAAGCTGTTATTCACGGCGGCTGGGTTGCAATGATGAAATCTCCCTGCAACACAGACAAAAAAGCTCATATACAACGAACTCTAGGAGGCAGGATATAAGGAAAGAGATGATCGCCGGCGCCGACGAAGAAAGGGTCGGGTCGGAGGAAACAATACGAGATGGCGTTAATAATGACTTTTCAAATATCCTAAAATTATTATGGGAAACTCATATTTTTAATGATACTTTGCTTGATTACATTACATTGCATTATTAACGGTTGTATAAAACTTAGTAATTTAATTAAGGTCATTGATAACGGTATACGTTTTACCGTAGATAACTTTACATTACATTGTTAATGATACCTCACATAATAGTTGATAACGGTAATTATGACAGTATATTGTTAATGATGCCTTGGAGAAACGTTGATAACGTTAAATTACGATGTTAACAGTGGTAGAAAAATGTTAATAATTTAATTGATGGTCATTGATAACAGTATATGTTTTACGTAAAAATAATTGTTATATAATTGTAAGCGTTCCATGAGATTCATTAAAAATCATTGATAATGAACAAATCTAATGATTGTCAATCGCACTACATATTATTAATAATGCTTTCCCCAACAGTGATAAGCTATAACCACCCATTGATAATGATTCAAATTACGATACTGATTATTAGGAAAACGTTAATAACCACAATGTATGTCATTAACAATACCTATATAAAAAAATGTTAACAGTGTTGTTGTAAATCGTTGAAAAGGAAAACAAAATTTGTTAACCATACTTTGTTGCCTATAGCCAAATTGTTATCAACGTAAGAACATTAACAATCAACTACAAAAGGTTAACAATCAGCGATGAAAGGTTAACAATCACCACAAAGAAACAATAACAAGATTGAAAACCTTTCATGGCCATTGGAAGAATCGTTGACCATTACTTCACAAAATGTTAATACATAGATCAGATTAGGTTAACAAACAACCCACGATGCATACTCGTCTGAGCAAAAGCACACGAAAGGTAAGATGTCGAAGGAAGCTTCAACGATGGAATGTGCGGCGACGTGAAGCTGCTCCACCCGATAAGATTTGAGGCGTTGAAACGATGGATGGAAGTCATGAAGCTGCGGATTTAACGAGATTCGCGGCGCTGCAAACAACGGAAGGAAGAAGTTGGGAAGCTGCAGAATGAACGAGATTCGCGACGCTGCTGTCGACGACTAGTGCACCAAAAACCGGCGGACGATCGCAGGTATCCCCTGCACCAGAAAAACGATGCTACTGCATGTCGACGTCGCCGGAGCCGTAGAACTTGTGGAAGCAGAAAAACCTAGAGAACAATATAAAAAAACCCTAGTTTACCAACGTAAGACATGGGGTTAGTATAAATAAATACATTGATAATTAATTAAACTAAAATTGCAATGTCATTCTTACCCCTAACAACCTAAAAACAGCTAACTGTCCACTAACAACCCACTAACTACTTAAGATTGATCTAATGGCCCATATTAACTTAAGGAGCTTCTTAAGTATAGAGGCTTAAGGATGTGAACTCATTCCAATAGTCAACCGCTTGTGAATCTACCACTCTTTCCATATAAGTTAAACTCAAATGTTTTAATATAATTTACTCTTGTGTGATGGAAATTTTAGCCGCAAAATACTTTAAGGAGCTACGTACCCGATCGATGAAAGTACTGTGTATGGAACGGCAATAGGAATCAATTTGGACAGTGACTTTGTGGAAAGAAGGCGACTTCGTGGGAAATCGAAACTTATGGGCTCAGCTTTACAATAGCAACAACGGACTTCAACTTGGACAACAACTTCTCGATAGAACGCGACTTCAAGGGTGGAAGGCGTGTTTGTTTGGTGAATCTTAGAGGATAATTGTTGGCCGACTTGCTTGACATCGATGAGAAGAGGTTGAAGAGGAGCAAAATAGGGAGAAGGATCTGCTGAGAAGATCCCAGAAAATCCCCCTTTCTAACCCTAGAAATCGCCAGAAGAAAAGGTTTGAAATTGGGAGAAATGGCTTCGATTGAATCACTAAAAGAGGTATTAAAGAGAAGAAACCTGAATATAGAATCCATGGTTCTGGACGATTAAGCAAACCCAAATGCACATATCAAAATATAGTGAAAGATCAAACCTTTGAGTTCTATGCCAAGTTGAATGCCTGGGGATTATAGTGATCGATGAGAACAGGGGAGATGGCCGATGAAATTAGACAAACTGAACCGGCGAGATGGAAAAAACGAATTCGATCAGGGTTGGGGAAATGGGGAGTCGGGGAGAAGGTTGTACCATTTTTTTTCTTCCTAATTCTGATAAGGAGTGAAAGGTTAGAATGAATTGTTTGTAGTCCCAAGTCCCAAGCTATAGCAAACCTAGTTCCAGCTCCAAGACGTCGCCGGATTGGGGAGGTAAATGGTCACTGAACCATACGCCCTTTTCCATTTTCTTTTTTCATTTTTCTAATTGTATTTATTTAGTGTTATGCGACCAGGGCAAATGGTCGCTGGAATTTTATGAATTTGCGTCTAATTATTATGGTCGCCGAAAACAAAACAATGGCCGCCAAAACATTTTGATCTTCCCGTCTTCCTAAAGAAGACCCGCCAAATCTTTTCTTTCTAATATTTGACGATTCGCGACCTTGGTAAAATCATGGTCGCGATAATGATATCATAAGCGACCACGTTTTTAAATGGTCGCAAAGAATGATCGCAAAATAACCTTTTTCTTGTAGTGGCTTAGGGTTTCCAGAATCAGACGACGACGCGGGAAGATGGGAAGGGTCGAAGGGAAATGGATTTTCGACTTTTGTTTTGTCAAATCAAAACGACGGCAAAAGGGAGAAGTGGGGGAGGGGCCGGGTCGGGTCGGGTTTGGGCTGCTGGGTTGGGGGTCTACTTTGGGCTGGGCTGGGGGGGTCAACTTTGGGTTGGGCTGGGGTCAACTATGGGCTGGGGCTGGGTCGCGGTTAGCCTTGCGGTTATATGGATTTACGGTTTCGGTTGCGGTTAAACCTCAAACCGCAAAACAGCCCATATCTCTAACCGCGACCGCAAGATAGGCAAAATATGCGGTTTGCGGTTAACCAATAACCACGCGATTTCGGTACGGTTATCGGTTTAACCGCGAAACCGCAACCATTTTCCCAGCCCTACTTTTTCTTATAAAAGTCTATTTTGGTATGTCTTTCATAAAAAAAAAAAATAGAAGATGTGATGTGAAACCTAACTATCTTCCTCTTCGAAGTCCTAATTCTCTTCTCCCTCTCTATCTATTGCCAATGCGGCAATGACCTCTCCTTTCCTTTTACCTCAAATTCTTCCTTCCAAACCTTTAAATTCTATCCTTATGCCTCTCTAGCTAATTCCCCTCTTCAATTCTTAAACGCACCCTAAATTTTGTGTTTCTATTAAATTAATTAGAGTTCGATGTAGCTTATCGATAAGTTGATTGATTAAGATATAAAATATTGAATAGAGGCTTATACTCGATTCCATATACGTTCAACCAAAATAAAGACCATCATACTTTTTGAACTGCACCTATAATACAAGGCGGTGCAAATTACCTACCTACCAAGCATGGCTCCGCCATTGCTGACTACTGATAGTGGAGAGGATTTCCACAATCATAAAGGCACTTGATCTTGACCACCCATTTATGTTTCCTCTTTCGCAATTTCGAGCGATGAGTCATTGTCGGTCACTCGCAATCAGCGGTACCCAATAATAGAACAGATCCTTTAATTTTTGTTTCCATGCAAATCTATTCTATTTTTGAACAAGTTCCCAAGCTAATCAGTTGACACATGGCAAGCTGCAATACACGTAAGGAGTCGATTGGACACGCGTCTAGTTGTGAGTTGGGCATCCCTGCCCTATAAAATATGCTCCCCTCCCTCACCATTTATTCATTACCCACTACCAAAAGTAAAAAACAAGAATTGTCTATTTAACAAGAAACGTAACAGGAAGAAGATCGGAGAAGAAATGGCGAGCAACACCGAGAAGATGTCATACCACGCCGGCGAGACCAAGGGCCAAGCTCAGGTAAGTAACTCATCCAACGCGAATAATGCATGAATTTGAAGAACCCTTATTTTGATGATAATAATGATCATGTTATGGAATGGGGAACAGGAAAAGGCGAGCGGGATGATGGACAGGGCAGCGGGCGCAGCGCAATCTGCAAAGGAATCGGTGGCAGAAGCAGGAGGGCAGATGAAGGCCAAGGCTCAGGGAGCAGCTGAATCAGTCAAGGACGCCACTGGGATCAACAAGTCTAACTAACCATCACGTCCTATCATAATCCGTCCCGCCAAAAATAAAATTAAAACAAATCGTTTTTTTTTTCTTTTTTAATCTTCTTCTTTCAGTTTCTTTTCCCAGCCATGGCGGGTTTGCTTTGTTAGTAGTATGGGGGGTTTTTGCGAGGCATTTTAGTGTGCTTTATAGTATTGGTACTATAAAACATTTACAGCCATTAGATCATGTCCAAACTATATCAACCATTAGATTTCATTTAAATTATTAATTTATTATTTTATTTGTGTGTTGATGACCGGTACAACCGGTTTTCTGAAACCAATTACACTCTTCTTCTCACCGCCGAAACCCCTCTTTCTTCGATCCTCTTCCTTCATTCGATCCTCTCCACGCAGCTAGCGAGCAGTGAAGACGGCGATCCTCTCCACGCAGTGGGTGACGACGAGTGAAGACGGCGAGCAGTGGGTGACGACGAATAGAAGGCGGCAGTGAAGGCGGCGATTCGGATTCCGGATTCCGACGACGACAGTGAAGGCGGCGAGCAAGGGACGACGAGAGCGAGCATCTCTTCGTCGATTGCAAACGAAGACCGCCGGCGTCAAACCCACGCCCACCTCGGCCGCTTCTCTTTTCCCAGCTCGCCTTTCTTCCACATTCTCAAGGCCAATTGCTCAGCTGGGTGCTATTCAATCGCTTCTCCTGCTTCACTTCCCGCCGTGTCGGCATCGATTCCACCAGCTCGCGGTCGCTGTCTCAGGGTATGCTCTGCAGTGCGAACCCAGGAGTTTGATAAATCTCTCCCAAATCATTTGTTTGTTGGTTATCTGTAAGCAACTTTTTACTCTTGAATTCTATTCCATGTATCGTTTACTTCGTTCTAGTTTTTGACAGCAGTTCAATTAAATCTCTGTGCTTCCAATTTTCCCCCTCCTACTAACTTAGTGCTGGATAGGAAATGCCACGAACCAGAACAATTGACTAGTGAATTCCCATCGATAGCTAACGAAGACTCTGCACAAAACCCCTCTTCCCATCGATAGCTAACGAAGACTCTGCACAAAACCCCTCCTCCACCGCAACTTTTTTCGGTTAGTACTATCTTCTTTGTGTTTAGCTTGATAATTAGCTGCAATGGCGGTTCCTGTTGTTCCTTCACTTGTTTTGAAGGAGAATTTGCAGCATTTACCTTCTCTTCACCTTGTTTTTGCTGTTGAGGTTGTGCTTGATTTGTCTCCGTTTCAGCAACATCCTTAGCAGGCTCTTGTTGTTGTTGTTGTTGTTGTTGTTGTTGTTCCTCAATCTTCTTCTGTTGAGGAGGAGCATTGGGTTCTTCTGTTGTTAGGGTAGAAGAATTCGAGTCTGAAGAATTCACAGCAGTTGTGGTTGTTGTTGTTGTGGTTGCGGTTGTGGTTGTTGATGATGCTTCCTTTGGTGAGGAAGCTTTGGATGGATGTTGTTGTTGTAGTTCTTCCATCTTCTTCGTGGGAGGATTGATATGATATGATATGATATGGTAGATAGAAAGGCCGTGTTCACTGAGAAAGTTGGGAATTTTTCTCTGTTTAGCCAATTGATGAATGTAGTTAAGTTTGAAGACCATGATTTGTTTGATTGATTTAAGTCTCTTTGCTATGGTTAGTGGCTCCAAGCATGCGATTAACCAACAGAAATGGGTGCTTATCTTAACTGTTCACTTCATAGTATGAGTTTTCTGTTTGTGGAGTTATCGGATGTATCCGAAGGGACTGTCTGTGGAGTTAGAATTGTGTATATAATGTAGAAAAGAAGTTTAGTGCAGTGGGTAAAAGAGCTTCCATGAATGATGAGACATTAAGGTCAAACTTAGTTAGGATATTTAGAGCATGGTTGTTGGCCTTAGAATATACGGCAGCTTGGGAGTTACTCCCAGTTTTAGTCTTTATTGTACATTCCGTGCCTCGATCTCATTTTATATGACTGATCAAAATTCTAGAATCTTTAGCAAGCGTTGGTATCGTGGTGGAACATTTGATACAATCAGTAGACCTCATTGTAACGCATAACAGCATCTTTTTCTTGCCTACTTCATACTGCTCCAAATTGTTAGAAGCTCGTGTATTTGTTATGTTTTCAGAGCTACTGATTATGCTGCTTCTAATGAAGGTGGTGATCGTATGTTGGTTAACGAATTGAGGAAAATGAAATGTTAAAGTTCCATGATGCTTTATCAATACTACTGTTCTGCTGCATCTTGTCCCCAACCTAGGAAATGGCGGGTAGAAGGTTACAAATGTTCAGTGGCTTTTGTTTTATTTGCAAGATATTTTGGATTTTTAGTTCATCTAAAGACTTGGGAAGAAATAAAGATGGATTTTCAATATTGTCCCATTGAAGTCGTTCTTCTTGGTAACTACTTAGCCAAGTCTAGACTTACGGAAGGTGTTGATGTGATTTTGGAAGAAGAATAGAAGTTTAGCTCTGCACCTGCTTTACTTGCTAAATGATGTTTATTCTTTTTGGACAACCTTTTAGCTGCTTTCTTCACGGTTGGGGGTCGGGTTCAAGTAGAAAAGAGGAAGTAAATAGGGTGTTTCCAATTTGAGGGTTCCATCTCACGGTTTTTGTCCCGGGCGTGATATAACCCGTGAAACCTCCTGGAACTTACATTTTTTAAAAAACATTCTAACGGCACATCTCCCGGCCGTGAGTTTTAAGTTGTGAGGCGTGTTTTTTGGGTTTCAGCTGTGACCATCTCACGGGTTGATCTCACGCCCGTGAGATTAACAGATGAGCCGTGAGAAGTCCAGCATTTCAATTACACAAACACGGCTCATCTCACGGCCGTGATACTGTCGAACCCAACCCGTGAAACCCCCTGGAATTCCCCCTTTTTTAAAAAAAATCTAACGGTTCATCTCCCGGCCGTGAGATTTTCAGATGTGAGGCGTGTTTTTGAGTTTCAGTTGTGCCCATATCACGGGTTAATCTCACGCCCGTGATATTTAAAGATGAGCCGTGAGAAGTCCATTTTTACATACAAGGTGTTTTTAGTTTCACGCCTTATTTTAACGTCCGTGATTTTTGTAGCCAAAGCCGTGAGATTGTCTGGGATATAAAAACTACTCTTTGCTTCTCACGGGTCATGTCACGGCCGTGAGAATTTGCATTTTGGGTGAAATTTAATGGAAGCTGGGTGTTTTGGGTGAAATTTATATATGCCAATGGCGGATTTCATGGTTAATTAGTGTACTCAGGTGTTGATGTAGGGGGTTTTCAGTTCTTCTGGTAGTTAGAACTTGATATCGAGGCAAGTGTGCTTGTGAGCTCTGGTATAGTCTTGCATTTGTTCAATATTGATAAAAGCCATATATTGAAAACCAGGATTGAACTCATTACCTGGAGAATGTGTTTACCGAATGATTAAATGATCCTTTTCTCGAATGAAACTTTGTCATAACCACGTTTTCTCGAATGTGTTTAAGTGTGAAAACTGAAAGTTGCTTCTTTAGATCAGTGGTGGACGACTCTGGCTTTGTGTATTTTGTTAGTACTCTTCGGCATGCTTATAATTCGTGTTTCAAGGCATGCTTATAATTTTTTTGTTGTTTTAATTTTGCAGTTTGCTAAAATTGTTCTATAATGAAGACGAAGAGTCATGAAATTTTTAGCACCCGCTGTTCTCCTAGGAAAGTATTCTCAGTAGTCTCAAATTTACAGGCTTGTCAATCAGAGGCCATTAAGAGATGTGGCTTTGGTCGTATGCTTGAAGTCAAAGGAAGAATGCTCCAACGTGAGTTGTTGGAGATCCTTTTGAAGAGCTTTAATGTGGAAGAAAGCTCAATTCAGGCTTATGGGTTGAAAGTCCATATTTCGGCCAAAGATTTCGAGCGAATTATGGGCGTGCCTGAGGGAGGTACTGATATCATCTTGAATGGTGAAGAAGTGGGACGAAGATCCGAGGAATTGAATCCATTTAGAGTGTATTCGACAGTTGATTGTGCCCGACAGGCGATTTCGACAAGCTTAATGCGGAAGGCTTTGTCGGAGATGAAAGATAGCGGTGATCTATTTCTTCAAACGTTTATTTTGTACGTAATGGGGGTGCTATTAGTACCAACTAGAAGAGATGACTTTTCGTTATCTTCGGTATACGCTGTCCTCGATGTTGCCGATATTCCGAAGAAGAATTGGGCATCGTTTTGCTTCAATGAATTGGTCAAATGCATCTGCGACCATAATGCTGAGGGGAGAAAGTATATACCGGGTTGCTTGCTGTTCTTGGAGGTAAATAATTGCTAATCCCTACTTTCTACATATTTGTAATGATTAATCATCATGTTGATTATAGTATTTTTTTTTTTTGTAGTTAATATTCTTGGAGCATGCAAATGGTATTTTCGAAACTATTGATAGGAGTTTGGATTTGTTGAGCTGGGGGAGCAGAGACGTGGAGTTATTGTTAACAGAAGTGGTAAGACTGATAGTATATTTGATTCTTTTGACGAGTTGGAGCATGCTAATGGTACATTTGGTTCCCTTTTTAATTAATTTGTAGGTTTCCAGCAGTTCGGGTAAAAGATCAGCTGAGGATGTAGGTTTGAAATCACCTGCAAGAAAACGGGAAAAAAGAGATGGGAAACGGCAAAAACCCGACGGTGATGAGCTGCTTCTCTGTGAGCGTATTGACGCTCGGTTTACTACCATGGAGGGTAGAATTGACAACTTTAGGCAAGAATTTAGAGTTGCAATGGGTGATGTTGCTTCCAGAGAGAATGAGCTAATGAGTCGGGTTGTGAATATGGAGAACGAATTTCGGGCTTTTAGAGACGAAATTGGTAGTCAAGTGAAGTCCATTATAGAGGCAGTGAAAGCAACTATAGGTGATCCGTTGTCAAGGGATCAGCCTACTGAGTTGAAAAAGAACGATCAGAAGGATGAGGCTGATAATGTGAAAGCTTCTGCAGCTGTTTTGTTGTCAACGGAGCAGCTTATCAGAGGGGAAAAGGGCAATCAGAAGGCTGAGGTTGAAAAACCAAGTGAACCCATTTCGCCTACCTCCGAATCTGTCAAGACTCAAGGGTTAGGTGTTAAGAATTGGGGAGAAGCTGAGGGGGAAATTGGAGATGACTGCGGTTCTGAATCTCCTTCTGTCAAAGTTGTGAAAAAGTCTCCTTGCAAGCAGGCGAAAGCGTCTAAAGTTGAGAAATTCATATTGTTGAGTGATGAAAGTGTTGCTGCTAATGATGGTTGTG